TAATTATTATTTTTCGTGTTTGAACAGTTAAAGTTCCCTGTCATATATGTGACCTACATGTTATATCTTCCGTTATATGAAGTGTAGAATTTTTTTAAAAAATTTCATAGATTATGCGGACCCAACAGCTTAAAATGACTCTCTTTAGCACCAGCTTGGTAGAATATGTCTATTCATTGACGTGATATCTAACTGGATCCTACCGAAAGAGCTACCGAACTTTGGGGACGATCATCTTCAGATATATATCAACGCTATCAAGTATCAAATATTATGAGTACCTCTTCTTGATATCAATGACTTTTAGAAATTTAGGACAGAAGCTTATGACCTTTATCTTATTCCTCATATGATATCTCAAGTTTATGCGAGCCAAGAACAGGACTATTTTATATATTCGACTTCTATAATACTCGTAGGCTGGTAGAATTTCATGCTTGTGAACACTCTTTAAGACCATGGTTCTGATCCTGTTGCTCTATCAAGGAATCCCTAATTTCAGAATGTGTTCTAGAATTTAGTTGGGGGTGTTCTGTGAGTAATTTATGTTAGGAGTTTGGGTTGTCCATTTAGGTCAGATACCATGCCCTTTAGAGGGTTCCTGTTGGGGATTGATGATTGGAAAGAACCTTCAATTAAGACAAACTCAAGCAACATCACTTAAAGAGTTGTTGCTACATTTTTAGACCCTCAAAAACAAGAATCTTTACCTCTAATGGAATTGCTGCAAATTAGTAAAAGGAAGAATCCTGAACTAAACATTTTGGACATAGGATATGGAAGCAATGTTCACATAAATATATATGTTATCTATATATAAATATCTGCGTGTCTGCATTTAAATGTGTATAGAGAAACAGAGGCAAGAATCCCTGGAAGAAGAAATAAATGAACGATTGTTGGTCAACCTGGCATTTTATGATTAAATGCTCTTGCATGTTATGTAGCTGGTTTATTAAAGTGGGGAGGCTAAATAAAGTTTATGCGTAGAGATGATGCATGATTATGAAATTTAGATAAAATTAAAGGAAAAGTATGTAAGGTAAAAGTAGTCATTCATCCTTTATTGAATACACTGCTTTCTACCATGTCATGGAGAATTATTCTACAGAACGAGCGTGGTCCATAATCCAAATTGATAGTGTTCAGATGTTGAGATATACAAAATCAACACACACAAAAGAATATGAATTTGTTTGGAAGAAACCAGAGGCTCACCAGTTGAGTACAAAATGAGAGTTGTCTAATATGTTGGTTTAGGTGCTGTGAAGATTTTTCCAGATGACAGTAATAGGTTTTGGTATTCGAGCTGAAAGAAAGACAAGAAACAAAAAAGATGTAGGCTTAGGTTTTGGGAAATGAATGCTAGCCTATTACTGAAGTGCAAAAATGGTTCTATATGAAGCTGAACAACAAAAATGGATAAGTACAACTGAGCCAGTGTATTTAGATAATATTTTGTGTAGTTGAGTATCTTGAACTATGTAAAAACTTTTGTTTTCATCAACAAATGTGAGAATTAGATTCTCTAATTTCTGTCAATTTCACATCATTAAATCACTGGAGCTTACTATTGGGACCCGTATGATGAATTATCGAAATCGACTATGGGTTGATTTGAAATTGAGAGGATGTGGATCTGTCCAGACCTTTTGTTTATGATTTTTGTGATCTGTCCCGAATTTAGTCTTTGTTACAATTACTTGAGTTAGCCAATAATAGAAGACCGAAAATCTTTAATATGTCCTCAGTGGACTCAAATAATCTAACAAACTTAAGTTGAGACCACTGAGAAAGATTTAATGCTTGACATTGTCTATCTTTAGCTGTGGTCCACAAGGGAATGAATCTGGCTCATCAACTAATGTACTGGCTTCTGTATACACTAAATCAAGTTTGGGAAAATAGAGAGCCAACTACTACGGGTTGAGTTGGGTAGTGTTTATAAGTCGTGTTGTGTCAAAATTTAAGCAACTCGTATCTGATTCATTTATAGTCATGCATAGTTGGTCGTTGTTTGTACAAAAATATCTACAACCCCGTTACGGGCTCCGTCGCAAGATGTCGTGTATAACCTATGTTTACTTGGATTCGTGATGACACACCCATAAATGGTTTTAACTGATAACTTTGTGATGGTTTTGAACCGGATTGGGGGGTCAAAAAAAGAATCCAAAGCCCTTTTGTCAATTAATAAACTGCGGTTTTACATAGGATGGCAATCATACCCTGTCAACTACCTTCATTTGCTTGGCTGGACTTACTCTCTACTCTATGCCTTTGAATGTATATTCTCTTTTAGAAGCATCACAGAATCAAGACAAGTACAAATGCTTCAGCAGAAAAGGCTAACACCCTTTTCCCTTTTTAGCTGTCGAATTCAGAGTTATTGAAAGAATCTTTGCTCGATTATTGTAGTCCTCATGATGTGGTGTATTGCAGGATGAGTTGAGGATTAATTGGAGTCAGGGCAGCTACTGAAATATCCATGTGAGATACAGCAAATTATATACAGTTTAGTTAACCACTCATCATATAATTGAGATTGAGATTCCAGTATTACAAACATTCACTTAACTATGAGCTGGAAGTCCAGATCCAGTTTCCTTCTCTGGTAAGACTTAAAAAACCCTTGTCTCTCCTCTTCTGTGGTTATTAAATGGTTCTCTCTTTCCATGATGGTCTCACTGCTATTTTAATATCAACCTTTCTTATTTGGAAGGCTATATACGGCAATCATGTGGATTAGTATCAACTAGAGTCTTTAAGTTATACTGCTGGTAGGTGACTGCCAGACCACCCTTATTTTATATGTCCATATCTATATAGATAGGTATAGAGAGAGAGAGAGAGAGGGGGGGGGGGGGGGGGGAACCCCCTGACAGGCATAAGCATACACACGAGCAAAGTAGAGAAGAGCTGGCATAGTTGTGGGATATAAAGTATTTGAAGGACTAAACCCATGCATTTGGCATCTTGTTTGACGAAGGCAAATCCAGCTTAACTTAATCTTTAAACAAATCATAGGTGACCTAGAGATGAGTACTCCTCTACAGATATATAACCAATTTCGTTACTATTTTTGTCAACTTCTTGAGGCCCTGCTGCTGCAATAATTTATCTAATATATATTTTGGTATTATACAGATCCAAATAAAGATTATGTGCTCTTCTCTTTCTTGAATTTACATAAGTGCCCCTCTGGAATAAAACTCTACATTAGAGATTCTACCATAGGGACAGCGGTCCTCCTTAATAAATAAATCTTATATATTTTAGTAATCACCCTTTTATCTCATTTGATAATCACCCCATGTATGAAAATAACTACCAAGTTGGATTTGACCTTATCCACTTATTAGTTTATTACAAAATGATAACATTAAGTGATAATAGTTATTTGGTTTTATGTTACACCCATTATTTACTCTTGCTTAATTGGCCGGCTAGTATTATTATTGTTAATACTATTCTTAATATTCCAATATAAATTTCGTTTTAATAAATTGGCATGGAGTTATCAAATATAAATTTAGTTTTAATAGATTTGAATTATGATCGACTAAATTCGTTGAGAAAATTAATTGTCGCGAGTTTAATTATAAGCGATCCAAGTGTAATCATATAAATTTATAAATAGGTGGTACGTATATTGACAATATAAATTTTTATGCGATGCAACTTAAACATGACATGCATTCAATATAATGTGTCATTTCTTTTCCTATTTTGTATTAAATTATTTTTTTTTTTGATAAATATAATGGAGGTCAGGTTATTTAATTAATAAGGGTAACTCGTATTTAAAGATATAGTGTAATGTCAATAATTTTGAGAGGAATATTGGTGACCGTTGAATGAGTTTATTTAAGATTATTGAATGAATTTATTAAAATTTATTTTATTTTATATTACATCATATATATGGTATTGGACTTTTCGTTATACTCTCGTGATGGTGATGGTGATGGTGATGGTAATGGTGGTGGGTTGTGGTCAACTTGTACCCATCAATATATATCAACAATTTAACATATGACGATGACAATTAACTATAGTGAAAATAATATAGAAAAAGGAAGAAAGATAGATTTTCTCTTCTCTCAGCTTAAATTTTTTTAGTGAAAAGAAAATTTGACTTTTTTGGGCTAGGCTCCCCTTGGGCTAAGTTCTAAATCTATATTTATAGTAATTTATTTTATTTAAGAATATTTTGAATTTCAGTGGGATTTATTAAGTTATATGATATTTTCATCGAAAAGTTAAAAGAATATTTTTCTAGCTGCGTGGAGTGCACCTTATGGGATGCATTGGAGTTTTGTACGCCGTGTTTTTGGTGACATGGCGCTCCAAACAAGAATCCTTCTTGAATTGACTGGATTAGGAAATTGTTTTTTCTTTCGTATTTTTCTTCTTTTTTATGGGTAAAAGATTTGGATAGGGGAGTTGTTGTTGCTTTATAGTAAAAGACATTTCTCTACTGTCCAATAAACACCCTACCCCACCTCCAATTCCTCTCGGGGCAGTTAGCTACTCTCTCTCTCTCTCTCTCTCTCACACACACACACACTGTTCTCTGTATGAAAGACAAAAAATTCTTCTATATCTTGATAGAGATTTAATTTAATATAGTCATTGAATTAATTATGAATTATAATATACTATATTATATAATAAATAAATTAAGTGGGAGAGAATTTGGAGGCATTCCCTCTCTATTCCATCTATATGGCCTCTTCTTCTCACATTTTACTTTATTGCAAGCTCACTTTTTTAAACTCATTTTAGATAAATATCTCAACTTTTGCCTCTGCTATCTCGTGGGTCTCGATTTAGATAACAAACTAATGATGGGAAAAATTTCAGGATGGAGTGAGATAAACAAAGTTCAGTGGGAGAAAAGTATAAATTCGTACATCGCACAAGTTCACACTCTCAATCAACAACAAAAAAAAAAAATTAAATCCCTAAATTAAATTCAAATAATTTTTTTTTTTTTTGGAGAAGGGTAAGATCGAGAAGTAAGAAGTGATTGAAGCCCTGGTTGCCTGCCAAGTGTCGCCAACCCATTTCTCCAGAAGACTCCTACAATTCATAATCTATAACAGCAATCTAAATCCTTAAATCTTTACATTCGAAAAACTCACCATTCATGCCAATTTTGCTGAACACAACATTTCTCCAATGCTTACTTTACTCAACAGAAAGCTAAAACGCCTCTGCTCTAGACTCCGGTGGTCGATTCGCCGCCGTCCCAAGCCCAAGATTATCATCAAAAAGTTTGGAAAATCCAATTCCAATGACTCAAAAAGTCAAACCAAAGTTAATGGTTCGGCGGCGATTCATCCAAATGGTGAATTGTGTTGTTGCAAATCAGAAAAACCGATTCGTATGGCTACGTTTAATGCTGCCCTCTTCTCTATGGCTCCTGTAGTTCCCAAGACTGAGAAGTCATCAACTTTTGGCTATGGAGATGAAGATTATACACAGGCCATGCACTCATTGAGAGCAAAATCAATGAATGATCGTCCGAAGAGTATTCTAAAGCAGTCTCCTTTGCATCCCAGTTCCGCAGACACTTCAGACAATCTTTCAAAACAACAGAAGTTTGTTAAATCGAAGTTACGGGTTTCGATCAATTTACCAGATAATGAGATATCTCTGAAGCGAAACGGACAGTTAAGTTTTGTTGAAGATGGAAAAGAGGGTTCATCAAGTAACAGCATGAGTAGAAAAATTCTAAAAGGAAAAGCTCCATTGAGATCCATAACGAGTGTGCCCTCAAGTAGTAGTAATTGTACAGATGATCAGAGCTATAGAAGTAGTAGAACAGTTCTTGAAGTGTTGATAGAGATTGATGCTGATATACTGGCTTTGCAAGATGTGAAGGCAGAGGAAGAGAAAGCTATGAAGCCTTTATCTGATTTGGCTGCTGCTCTGGGGATGAATTATGTGTTTGCAGAGAGTTGGGCTCCGGAGTATGGCAACGCCATCTTGTCAAAGTGGCCGATTAAGAGGTGGAAGGTTCAGAAGATTGTTGACAACACTGATTTCAGGTTTTGACAATGTCTTCACCCATAAAACTTTTTAGTTAAAACATATTCCTCTGTTTTTCCTCTGTTTCAATGCTGAGTTTTTAGCTAACGAGACAAATTACAATAAATCTCAGAAAATGGCTGATCACTTTCTCGAAAAATCCATTAATTTATCACTTTTTAATCTGTGGAACTATTTCAGAATTATTCTTGAAACCTTTTAGAAAGTCTAAAAGATTTTTTGCAAAGCTTGAAATGAGATTGTCATACTTACATATGACAAGTATTTTCCCAAATCCAAATTTCTCTACCTAATAACAGAATTTTTTCGAATTTTCTGGAGATATTCTTCCCATCTGGTAATTCTTGTGTGGTATATTAATTATTAACATGAAGCTCAATTTGTCTCCTACAGCCTGTGAAAGTGCTTTGGTTTTTCCTTTGTCAAAAGTGGGCCTGCCAAGATATGATGTGTACTTTGTGGCAGAACTGAAAGTCCACCTATTTCTTCGCTCTTTCTAATGTTATCATTTCGGTTCTTGTGATTCCTTATGGTAAATAATCCCCTCATTAAGATCCCAAATTTTTTTACCAGAATTTTGAAATTGGTTTCAATATATTCATCAAGGAAGTTGACGTCCAGACTCTCTATGTAATGGAACAGTCCTTGAACTTACCATATTCTGTGTGTATGTGTGTGAGTCAGTAAGTTATTTGACAATTTTGACATACCATCTTTGAATTCAATTTTATTCAATTGCTGAAAATTCTGTGTTTCAATTCTGTTCCTATATTTTGCGGATGGATCCAGGGTAAGGTAATTTACTGAATCTGATTATCGGGGTTTGTTGCTAAAGGTATTAACTATAGTTCAGAAGAAAATATAGAAACTTCATTACTGGTTGATCTTGTATAGATTATAGACAGTGGATATAAAAATCATCAAAGTCGAGTGAGTAACATCATGCGACATAAATGAGGTCTGTCCATTACACCCATTTTCTGTTTCTATGAAAATTGATCATTTCGTAATGCAAGCAAGATACTTTTATTCCATTTTACTGTAACTATTTCTGACAACTCTCTGTATTTTAATGACATTAGTTAAAGACTAATTTCCGAAATCTTGTGTGTGAGAAGTTCAAAAGCAGAATAATTGCTAGAATTTTAGCTTAAATTGAGTTGTTCGTTCAAATTATAAGCTCACAATGAACAAATTACATTTTGATAGAACCACAAAATGTTGCTCAAACATAAGATATCCCAATCTCCTTGTGTTTACCATGGGATGCAGGAATGTTCTGAGGGCCACAATTGATGTTCCCCAGGTAGGAGAAGTCAATTTCAACTGCACCCACCTTGATCATCTAGATGAGAACTGGAGAATGAAGCAAATAAATGCAATAATGCAATCCAGTAATGGGCCTCACATTTTGGCTGGCGGTCTCAATTCCCTTGACGAAACAGATTATTCATTAGAAAGATGGACAGACATTGTAAAGGTAAATGTAAAGTTCATTGCGGAATCAGCCATAGAATAGCACATACTTATCATCTGGGGGTTGTTCATATTTATGTCTCAGTATTATGAAGAGATGGGAAAGCCCACACCAAAGGCTGAGGTGATGAAATATTTAAAGAGTCAAAAATACACAGATGGTAAGGATTATGCAGGGGAATGTGAGTCTGTAGTCATGATCGCCAAAGGACAAAGTATGAAACCTGTGCTTTCTGCCTAAAATTAGCATAATAATAAACTAAATTTTGTTTTTGTTCTCTTGAAAATGACTTGGAACTGGTCTGTAACGCAGGTGTGCAGGGGACATGCAAGTATGGGACTCGGGTAGATTACATATTGGCATCATCAGATTCACAGTACAAGTTCATCCCCGGCTCATACTCAGTTTACTCTTCAAAAGGGACTTCTGATCATCACATAGTGAAAGTTGATGTAGTGAGAGTAGATAGCAGTCCTCAACAATATGTCCATAGAAAGCAAAAGAAACCCAAACAGAAAGTTGTAAAGATAACACACTCTTCTTCATCAAGGGGTATATGGAAACCACAAACTTGAGAAGATGGATAGGTAGATTAGCATTTTTTTCAAAATTAATATTTTGGTATTTGCTCGTTATGTAAGAGAGTAGACAGAAATATTTGTGTCTGGTTCTTTTTCCTCTGCTATGTAAATCACTGTTGTGTCTTTACACCTCTTTGGTCGATCACTGATCCCTTTAGCTGCCCCATTACCACTTCTACTTGGAAATCCTTGATTCTAAAGATAAATTATATTGTTTTTCCTCTATTCTATTGGAAAAAGTTGATTTGTCTCTATAAATCACTGTTATGTCTACACAATGTTTGTCGCAAAAAATGATAGTGACAGTTGCAACTTTTAAAATCAATGTCAAAGGCAAAACCATATCATGGGATTGGGCCCTTTAATTATGATCAGCCAAGAGTTAATATATATGTGGTTAACCTCACAGGCCGTAATGAATTCCTTTGTTATACAAACAGCTCCACATTAGCGTTTTCAATGAGTCGGGGCAGGTCGGGCTGGGCTGGGCTAGTATCCTGATCCAGCATTACCTCATCCTATTTACCCCCATCAAAGGAAAATTGGAAGAAGATACACTAAATTAGACTTAATTGTAAAAAAGTATATAGAAAAAATTTTAGGTAATTAAGTCCTTAATTTTGATACTTATTTGTGTCTAAGTACATTATTTGAATTTTACTGATTTTTTGTGACATTTTTTCCCTTCATTAATCCATGTGTATTTAATGTACCATTTTTCTTTGAAAAGTGGTGCATTAAACATTTCTTAGTTTTATGGGATAATTTTAATACATATATGTATTTATGTATATATAAACATGTGTATATATATAAATACGTATCTATATACTTGTTTGAATTTCAAAATTTGTATTCATGTATATATAAAAACGTATATGTATATAATTTATATTTTAATGCACATTGATTCATGCGTTATATATATATGATTCATACATTATATATATATATACACACACACATATATAAATACTTATGTATGTATGTATGTATATACTTGTTGTTAAATCTCTTATCTAAATTTTGAATTATCTTTTAATATACCTTGATTCATGATTTTTTTTTTTTTTGAAAAGTGGTTTTATTTTCAAATTAATTTAATATCTGAATAGTGTAATAGTGTAACAATAAACAGTGTAACAAGCTATTTACGTAAAATATTGTACTATTACATTTTGTCAAATATATAGTTTCGTATAATTTCATTCAAAATAGTACATTTTTCGTTTTGAATTTGTTATCACATACACAAAACTGCTGAACACTGTTTTTGTTACACTATCTTTGTTACACTATTACATTATTCGGATATTAAATTATTGAAAATAAAATAATTTTTCAAAAAAAAAAAACCCTTGAATTAAGGTGCATTAAATATAATTTAAAAACAAAATCACTTTTCAAAAAAAAAAAATGCATAAATCAAGGTGCATTAAAGATAATTCAAAATTTAGATAAGAGATTTAGCAACAAGTATATATATAAATTCGTATATACGTGTGTGTGTGTATATATATATATATATATATGGTCAATGGGTGACAACCGCTCTCTCTGCGTAGAGCCACCTCCCTCTCCTTCCATGGTGTTTTTCCCTGAGTTCCATACTCACCGCCTCTGGACATCAAACTCTACTACCTCCACTTATTGTTTCTCAACAATCTGCTTATTCCCACCTCCCTCCCCTCCATAAGGGCCTCCACAAAACCCACAGACACTGCCTCTCTTTCCCACTGTCCCATCTATCCATTGTTCCTCTTCTAACTGCTATCCATGGAACAATACACCAGTGGTTGAAACATTATTACTCACCATACTTCTCCACAGTCACCACAACACATTCTTCTTCTACATTTTCTCCATGTTCCTCATAGGTTGACCATGTTTCTACTCACCCAACCAACACTCATCACCTCATCCCACTCTATTCAGCTGGACTAATCACAGATACTCCTCACAAATAGAAAATCAGCCTTCCCACTTGCAATCGCTTCTCATCCCATTAGAATCTGATGTGAATACCAAAGACTTTGTACAGAATGCTTGCCTCATAGGAAAAATCTTCTCGTCCAAAAACATCAATTGGAATGTGGTGAAGGAAACACTCTCCAAAGCCTAGAATATAGGGGAACAAATGAGCATCCAGGATGGCAAAGTAGACACTTACATCTTCATCTTCAAGAACAAGGATCTCAAACAAAAGGTAATCCGTATGAGCCCTTGGACAGTTAAAGGCCAGCTGATGGTAATTCTACCGTGGACTGGGAATTGATCCATTTCGGATTTGGAATTCAATTCTACAGCCTTTTGGATACAAGCACATGGATTATCCCCTGATCTAATCACGCTTGGAAATGCCTTCAAGATAGCCTAAGCACTAGGCACTCCAGCTCTCTCTCCTCAATAGATGCACCAAGGAACAGTGTGGAAAGGGTATATTTGTACCCATGTTACCATCGATCTCACACAACCTCTTAGAACCCACTTTTGGATGCCCAACCATGGAAGGAAAAAACTCATACTTCTAAAGTATGAACGATTAGGGGATTTTTGCTATTTATGTGGGAGGATAGGACATGAAAGAAGCATTTGCAACCACAAACCAGCAATCAATCAATCTAAGGAATATGGTCCCCAGCTTCGAGCAAATCCAGGAGCGTCATCAACCTCACAACTTTCATTGGAAAACCCACAATCATGGCCAGAATTGGAGGCTCGTGAACCAGTAATTTTATTTGCAGTAGTGGCGCATGAACCAACCTTCTCGTCACTAGCATCGAAAAATGAACAACAAACATATTCTGGCACGTGTACAACGAATGGAACACCTGTGGCAAAGTCGGCGCACTCACGTCCAGAATCACAACCTACAGAGGAATCGCCACGTGGTACGTACCCATTGGATCCCTTGATAACAAACTCTTCAACAAAATCTTCTTCTCTTACCTACCACACCACCTCAAGAGACACAATGCCTTCCCCAACCCTAACCCCCTCACCACAGTCCACTTACATCACACAACTAACTAACCCTAACCTATCCAAAACTGGCCCACATTACATCCAAGAAAGAATCAACCCATCCACCACACTAATTAATAATGACCATAGCTCAATAGGTAGCCCACCCCAAAACCCAGAACCAGTCAAACCCAATGACACAAAAACCCAAACAATGCCCAGTAACCTAATGGCCATAACACTCATACCCAAAAATAAAAACCAAAGCTCAGTTGATCTCTCCAAAACCCCTCCTTGCCTGGAACTTGTCCCTCTGCACAAAACAACGCAGGAAAGCAGCACCTCATCACTTGCTTTAAACAATAACTCTCAAGTCCCAGCTCTCATTTCTCTACACAGTCCAATGAAGGAAAAATCAAGTTCATCCCTTACCATAAGCCAAGAAACACCACTACAACCTCACCTAGGTACCTTTTTTGATGAATGCATGGCCATAATCTTCACACGCCTCTCACTTAAAAGGAATGCTCTCGAATATGGAATCCATATCTGACCACCAAAATTCTATAGGAAAGATGATTGTATAATTGTTAGATTATCAATACCAACAAAGGGTCCAAATCCAGTTGAAGTTAAACCTCATTCCATTGATGCTTGGATAACTCTGCCCACAGATATTCATCGGCTCTCTGAAACAAATAAACCCAATGACCAAGTCAAAATTGATAAACATCAAAACTCACCCATTCACCCCACCCACCAACTTCAAAGGAAACCTTACAAGAAGTTCAAATGCGAGAGAACCATCAAGGAAACAACGCACTTCAGCACAACTATCCATGGAGAGACCTAAGTTCTTGTTACAGAGGAAACCATTTCAATGGCTAAGGAAGGCGGGTCTGACCATGCTCCCACCCTCACCATGATAGGATACATATGGAATTATCGAGGGCTGGGCCATGCCTCGACAATTCGCCATTTGAAGGCTCAAATAAAGGAGTATCACCCAGACTTCATCTTCCTTTCAAAAACTAAAATTCCTTCAGAAAAAACCAAAAAAACTTTGTTTACCCTTGGATTCCACAACTTTGAGATACAAAGTGCTAAAAGACTGTCTGGTGGAATATGTTTGTGTTGGAGGAAAGGCGTTGCGATTGAAGTATTGCTTGCAAACCAGAGCATCATATCATATGTGATTACTTTGGACCCTCCAGACTCAAGTTGGTTGCTTACTTGCATTTATGCTCTAGCAAACAAAAGAATTCAGCCTGCTCTCTGGGACTCAATGAATCAAATACTCATGAATAGCCCATGACCAAGTATGTTTATAGGAGACTTCAACAATGTGATATCTCAAGAGGAGAAAAAAAAGGGTAAATCATTTGCATCCCCATCAAATGGTGGCTTTGGTTCTTTCATTAATGACAAAGGACTTGTTGACATTGGCTATCACGACAACCTTTTCACCTGGTCCAATAAACGTCAAGGTCTTGCAAACATCAAGGAAAGATTGGACAGAGGACTAGTCACACTTGACTGGAGAATGTTATTTCCACATTCCGCCATTAGACATATGCCATCTATTTCTTCTGACCATTCCCCCCTCCTCCTGAACACATCTGGAATCCCTAAAACCTTTCACAAACCTTTTAAATTTGAGAAGATGCGGATAAGGGACCCTAGTAGTCACCATGTGGTCAAAGGATCATGGAAGACTAATAGAAGAGGATTAGTAGCATACAAGTTTTGCAAGAAGCTACAAGCTACTAAACAAGCATTAAAGCATTGGAATAGGGAAGTATTTGGAAACTGTATCCATAAGGCAAAGACACTAAGGAGCAGAATTGATTATCTACAACAAGCTGAACCAACTGAAGACAATATAGTGGAGGAGAAAATCTTGCAGCATGATCTTAATGAACATCTCAGAAGGGAGGAGGAGATGTGGAAGCAAAATTCAAGAATCCAATGGATGAAAGAAGGAAATGCCCATACCAAATTCTTTCACACCACCACGGTCATCAGAGGTAGATGGAACTCAATCGATTGCTTGAACATGGATCACAGAGAAGGAGTTTATTGGTAACCAATTCCTGTAGTAATTTCAAACACTTTTCACAACATCTAATCCTCACTTTCCCTAGCACTTAGATGACCTCATAGCACCCATAATCACTCCTGAGCAA